AAAAAAAAAAAAGAAGAGTCCTGCATAGCATGCCAGCTATTTGGGTTTCAGTTGATTACAAATACAGTGAAATGAAACAACCAAGATTAGTCATCAGTGTGTGTGTCTCTAACTCTAGAAATGAGCACTGTGACAGTAGTTGCCCTGGGAGAGGTGGGGAGGGAAGGAGGGAGTCGGCTTCAGGTTTGTAGTCAAAGCATCAGCTCTAATTTTATTACAGATTTCAGTTTTGTGCTAATCAGCAACTTTGTACTTTTATCAGACAGTAAGTTTAAAGATACAGGAAATTAAATGGTGTAAACACAGAAGGTGGGTTTAAGAAGATCCATAAACTGGCAAAGGAAGTCAGGCAGGAGGCACATAGGTCACAGCTTCCTGGGAGTTTAGAGTCCACTTGAGCAACAGCAAGACCCTATACTATAGAGAGAAGGAACTGGGTATGTTGGTGCACACCAGATCAGCAGTCTGAGTGGAGGCAAGGGAGACAGGAGTTCAAGCGCATCCTCAGCTATGCAATAGGTGTGGGCAAGCCTAGGCTGAGTCGCTGTCTCAGAAATAAAGACCAGAAAATTAGCAGAAGAAAATGTGATTTGCCTATAGCACATGGATGTGTTTTGCTAGGAGAATGATGAGATGAATTGTTTAAGTTGTACTCTGTGCATCTCTGTTTTTTTTTTTTTGTTGTTTTTTTTTTGTTTTTTTTTTTTTAAATAGGGTTTCTTTACTATGTGGGTAAACTGTCAAGTGACGGAAGGCTCATCTCAATTCAGCCTGTTCTGTGTATAACATATTTAGGGCATTGGGGCATTTCTGCATACAGTCTGTAATCTCTTTTTGAAAACTGCCTCATCCCTTCACCAAGAGTTGAACAGCTTCCATGTGCTCGGTGTGTCGGGCCCTGGAAGTGCCTGCTCTAACACAGTACACTCTCCGTCATCGCTGCCTTCAAATTCCAATACATAGACAACATCAGATGTGTGCTGTACAAAGTTTCAGCAGGCCAGTGTCATGGGTTTCATGAGTAGAACAGCGGATGTGATAAAGGGATGCTTGAAGGACATAGCCAGTGTGCAGGTTGAACTCATTGCAGACTGGAGAGGAGGCCAGGAAGCAGGACAGGAAGGACTGTGAGCCTGGGAGGGTCTGCTGTCTGAGCACCATGGGAACCAAAGATGGGATCTTTATTTTCAAAAGATGACTTGGGCTACTAGAAGGAAAATGAACTTATAGTTTATTTGCCGGGTGTGGTGGCACATACCTTTAATCGCAGAACCCAGGAGGCAGAGCTCTCTGAGCTCAAGGCCAGCTTGGTCTGTAAGAGTCCAGGACAGCCAAGGCTGTACAGAAAAACCCTGTTTCGGGGAAAGAAAAAAAAAAAATCTTGGCTGTGGATGTAGTTCAGTACTGATAGAGTGTGGGGAATCCTGGGTTCAGTCCCTCGGGAAAGTCTTCATAGCTGTTTAAATGAACCAGTCTCGGTGGCACTGAAGTGAAGAATAGGAAGCTTGGAAAGTATGATCAACAGTCTGTGTTGTCGGATTGGATGGGGGGTGCTCTTAGCTAGCATAGCCAATGTTAGCACTGTTTCCTGAGGTAAGAGCCTAGGGTAAAGTTGGCCTAGGAAGTGCCATTGAATTTGTTGTTGGCATAGGAAGTTGAAGGCACCTGTAAGACATCCAAGCAAACCACGTACGGGTTGAATAAAGGGGCCTGACATTCTAGAGAAGATCAGGACTAGGGAGAGAAAGGTGAGTGAGTACTCTTCCATAGACAGGACGTGTAAGGCCTTGGGTTTGCCATGGCACAGGAAGAAAATGAGCCTAAACTTTTGAGGCTGAATGGAGAAGTTGCCAGGAGAGAGTAAGTACAGAAAGAGGTTGCTGGTTTAATTCAGATTCTGTCCTCTGGAAGTACTTTTGTCTTCCAGCTTAGCATGTTTGTAGGTATTTAGAAGTAAATACTGCCATAGTTTGATCTATCATCTTTCCTTCCCAGTTAGCATTGTGATTCAGACCTCTTTAGTCAGCCCCAGCCTCTGCCTCCCTTGCTCCTCCTACTCTAACATTGTGATCACATGATCTTCATGAAGTGTGTCACTAAGAGTACCATGCTCACAAGCCCTCATGATTCTTGCTGCCTCTGGAGAAATGTCCAAGCTCTTTGCAGTCGGCCTTCCTCTTGTCCTGTCATTCACCTTTAGTTTCCTCTCACTAGCCAAGACTTAACTGGAGTGTTTCAGGTCCTCAGTCAGGTCCTGTGTCTTTTATTAATATTGTTCAAAGACTCCCCATTGATCTGGTTCTGTTTACAGTGCTGCTTACCTTGTACAGCATCAATTGCTCTTCGTCCACTCATAGGCCTCTTCTGCACTCTTCTGCTCTTTGCGTACTCAGACGGCCAAGCCCCTTTGACTCATCAGTATGCATCTGCCAAAAAAGAAGGAACTGTTTTTTAAAGGCTGCTCTAAGTGTTGATTTTGTTGAGTTTTATTCCCAAATCATGCACAGTCATTGTTTTAAGAAGTATGTTTTCTCATTATTTGTCAAGATTGAGTCTATAGTCATGAAATACAGAACATATTGTAGATTGAAAAGTATTTGACAGTTCCTTTGAAAGTATGTTTTATTAAAAGAAACAACCAACTAGGATCAATAGTGTATGTCTATAGTTGTAGATCCTGGGGAAGCTGAGGCAGGAGGATCACTTGGGTCTAGGAGTTCCAGGCCATTCTAGGAAACATAGCAAGAACCCCTAAAACCTAATCTTTTATTAAGATAATAAAACTTGAAGGTATTAAAAAAGACAAACCAGACGATACAGTGAAACAAAATAGGTGTACCTGAGTGGGATAGAGTCTTTATTTTAACATGGTCTTACTGTGAGCTGGCAACGTATATTGACTTAGTTCTTCTTCTTCCCTTTAGCCTGGAGGATGAAAAGGAAGATGGTAAAGCTATACCAACAGAATGTGCCATTAAGGTATTTAAAACAACCCTTAATGAGTTTAAGAACCGTGACAAATACATTAAAGATGATTTCAGGTTTAAAGATCGCTTCAGTAAACTAAATCCACGTAAGATCATCCGCATGTGGGCAGAGAAAGAAATGCACAATCTCACAAGGTAAAGACAACAGGTGTGCTGCAGGTGACCTTGGGGATTGCTCGTTGGACCAGCACTGCTAGCCAGGCCAAGATCCATGCTGTCTTTAAAGCTGATTTACAGAAGTAGCAAAAGGCCTTGACTTTCTAATTCTTCATGAGGCTTTTTGTCAGAAAATTTCCATGTTTTGAACCAGAATTCATACTTTGTGAATAAAAAGCCATTTTCTTTCTTCCTTAACACTTGTGGGAAAGTACAACATCATTTGCTTAGACATCTTATCATATGACAGCTCTGTGTAAACATTCTTTCTGAAGAATCACAGGGTTTGCAGGGCACCTACCCCACACCTATGCCACCCTTGATTGTACCTGTCAAGTTTCCCTATCAGAGGCTGAATCTTACTGTTTTTCTCTTGTTTACTGTATAGAACATAGTACCAGCTCAACACAGATCTAGCTAGGTGTTTGTTGAATGAGTGGCATGTTTTCTTCTTCTGATGGGTATATTCTTAATTATTTCTGTGTATACAGGATGCAGAAGGCTGGAATTCCTTGTCCAACAGTGGTACTGCTTAAGAAGCATGTTTTAGTTATGTCTTTCATTGGCCACGATCAAGTCCCAGCTCCTAAATTAAAAGAAGTAAAGCTTAGTGGGGAAGAAATGAGAGATGCCTACTATCAGACTCTGCACGTAAGTAGCACCTTTACAGCGTGTGTGGTGGACTGGTGGACAGTGTGCCTTAGTCCCAGCTGTTCAAGGCCAACCTGAGGAACATAGCACAGGGGCCTGTCTTAGAAACGATGATAATCTTGTAAAAAGTACAGAATCATACCTTTTGAAGGTGAGAAGGAGGGTCAACAGGGTTCTGTGAAGGACTGTTGACAGTGAAGTCAGGCCTGGTGATTAGCATCTGTGCTCTTGAGAAGACAGACACAGCAGGGTAGACATAAGCTCGAGGCCAGCCTTGTCACATATTGTCTCCATCACGTAGGTTATACAGTAAGACGCTGTCTAAAGGGGGGTGCAAAGAGTTGACTTGGCGATTATGAGCATTTACTGCTCTTGTAGAGGACAGAGGTCAGTTCCTAGCATGTCAGTTGCTTCACAGCCACCTGTAATTCCAGTCCAGAGGATCCAGTGCACATACAGTGCATACAGGAGCTCACACACACAAAGTAAAAATAAATATTTTTTGAAAAAAATAAAGCTGGCTGTAATCCTACAATTTGAGCAGCTAAGGCTGAAGAATCTCAAGTTCAAGGCCCACTTGAACTTCTCAGTGAGACCCTGTCTCAACAAAAAGAGTGGCTTTTGTGTCAATTTGTTTGTGTGTGGAATGGTTTTAGAGAACTTACGAGATCTGAACAAGTGCAAGCTTCATTCTTAGCATTGATGACATAAAACATGAAATAATTTTTCATTGAACTTAAGTCAAGTTTAACAGATAGAGTTCCTCTGTGTCTGACTCCTTAAAAGTTACGGTTCTTTAGCAATAAAGAAAGGGCCTATAGCTACTGTCGGGAAATCAGAGGAAAGCAGATTGGTGACATTATGGCAAAATGACAAAATTAAAGATAGTAGGGAGTGACAGTAGCAGAGTACAAGTCCTAGAATTGGAGAGCCTGTGTCAAGAATCTTGACAGTTACTTGTGATTGTGTGTGACAGCCGAACTAAATTTGAGGCCTTCAGCTTAAGTGTCCCTGATCCTGTCTTTATTCCTCTGCAGTGTTTTCAGTGAACACTGGAGAAACTTTGTGTGCATGTTACACAGTGTCTGCATGGAGGCCTTTGTGTCCCACAGCAGCTGGTGTGACTATAAAAATACTATGCAATTAGTTTACTAGACCAGGCCCCTCTGATTGTATCTTCCGTGGAACAGATATCACAGCCTTGGTTTTATCACAGTGCTTCTGATCCCTGATGCAAACAGGGTTCTTGGGGTCAGGGAGTAGACTAAAACCAGTATACTTCTGTGCAAACCCAAAGCTGAGTTTGCACTCTAGTATCCTTGTAAAAAGCCCAGGATTATGATGTGTGCCTATAATCCCAGCCCAGGGGAGAAAATAGGCAGCCAGGGGCTTGCTGGCCAGGCAGTCTAGCTACAGCCACGAGCACTAGGATTATAAGGAGAGACCTTATCTAAAACAGTAAGACACCAGACATGGACCTCTGTGTTTCACATGCATGCACATGCATACTCCACATGTATACATTCATGAACATGTACACGCAAACAAAAGAGACAATTAAAGAGGTAAACCATCTTCTACTGCCAAGAACAGTGGAAAAAAAAAAAAAAAGAAATCTTTTTTTTTTTTTTTTTTTTGGCCGCTTTGGGCAGTGGGGTGACTGGGGAAGAGATTAACTGATAAACTTTTGTTATTTAGTTCTGTTCGGGGTAGGAAATAATGGTTTCCAATATGAAGCTGGGGACAAGCACTAATGATGAATGCGTGATACAAAGGCTGTTAGCTGCATGTGTGCTACACACCAGGAACTTGCCAGTCTAAGGCAGAAAGTTCATGAGTTCAAGACCACTCTATGCTACATACCAAGACACTGGTTCACAAACAAGTATATATCTTCTCCACCATCGCTGGCAGGAAAATTCCTAGTTTTCACTAGGAATTGTTTATGCTCCATAGAGGCCTTAGTGAGACACTTGTCCTTTTTCAGAGGGAAGCAGCTTGCCTTGGTCCCTGGTTAGGCAAATGCAACTGGAATCTGACCCTTTGGGCTGATTTTGTTGTCACAACAAGGAAGCAGAATGTGACACACTAATTCTCTGACTGTCTCCTGCTATCCCTCAGCCCCCTGAATAACACTAATAGCAACAAAAAGGAAAGAAGGCTTTGTTTTGAGTTTCTAGCTCAGTTGTAGAATGTGTGTGTGAGTCATTAGGTTCAATTCATCAATGACAAAAGTAAATAAGAAAGAAAGTGAGTTTTGAACTTGTTTCTAGGAAGTGTTTGTTGATATATTGTAGTTAGTACCTTAGTCCATTTGGTAGAGGTACATTAGAGTTGTGCCTTCATTTCCTGAATGTTCACCTCCCTCCTCGCAGTTGATGCAGCAGTTATACAACGAGTGTACCCTTGTGCACGCCGACCTCAGCGAGTATAACATGTTGTGGCATGCTGGGAAGGTGAGTGGCCCATTTCGTTCATATTCAGATTACATTCCTGATGTAAATTATTGTGTGTGAACTCATCCCTCTGCTTATGTTATCTAGGTCTGGTTGATTGATGTCAGTCAGTCCGTAGAACCAACCCATCCTCATGGCCTGGAGTTCTTGTTCCGGGACTGTAGGAATGTTTCACAGGTAAGTGTGCAAAGCAACGTCTTTTAAAGGACTTACCAGGTTCAAATACTTTCCTCAGTCCTAAGAGAACCATATTTTTTGAAACTGAAGGATAAGGAGATAAAGGAGACATTTTCAGAATTCATCCATTCATGGACTCTTGAGTCCTTGACTCATATGGCCTCTGTTTCTAAGAGACTAAATTTTTGGTTTGCTCCTGCTGTGTAAGTAGCGAGTTGACTTAGTGCATGCATAGTGGATGCACCAAAGCTGGACATGGTAAGCCTTCGTGCTTCCTCCCATTCCTGATTGTGTGGGGAGGAGGATGACCTCCTCAGTGGAACAGTGGCTGCTACTGTCACTTTGAAACTTCTCTTCAGTGCAGAGTTGGGTTGCACATGGTTCCCATGTCGAAGGGAGAAAGCTTGCTAGCAACAGGTCCAAGAGAGGGAATAACTGTCCTGGAGGTAATCGATGGGCCTGCCCAGGAACTGTAATTTGGGGGTTCAGCGAATAATGTATCGCTCTCTCCATACAAAGCAGTGCCAAGGTAACTGTCCACAGGGCACCACGCTTCCCACTGAGGAAGAGCTAACAGGAAGAGGGCAGTTGCTAAGGATGGACAGTGTCAAGCAGAACCTGGGTAGCTAACCCTAGGGGAAAAACACAGTGGCTCTGGGTGGTGGAGGGTCTGGTGGCACCTTATGCATGCTGGCTTGTGAGAACTTTGCTGATGTCTGTTTCTGGGCTGCTGCCAGTTTTTCCAGAAAGGAGGAGTAAAGGAAGCCCTTAATGAGCGGGAGCTGTTCAATGCTGTTTCTGGTCTGGACATCTCAGCAGACAATGAAGCTGATTTCTTAGCTGAGGTGAGTGGCACACAGCTCTTTGCCTTGTTGCTACTGCTGCTGCTACTGGGGAGCTGCCCAGAACTCAGAGCCCACCTCACACTCTATGCCAAAACCACCCTCCACATCACGTCTTCCTCTTCTCCAGATGATACACACACAAACATGCACACACCGCTCAGTCTGCTTAAAATGAGTTACCAGCAGGCTGGGTGTGGCACGTCTTTTTATATTTTTTATTTTTTTTCCAGACAGGATTTTTCTGTGTAGCCCTGGCTGTCCTGGACTGCCTTAGTAGACCAGGCTGGCCTCGAACTCACAGAGATCTGCCTGCCTCTGCCTCCTGAGTGCTGGGATTAAAGGCGTGCACCACCATGCCAGGCTTGTGGCACTAGCACTCAGGAAGCAGAGTCAGGAAGATCTCTGTGAGTTCTAGGACAACATGGTCTACATAGTGTGTTCCATGGCAGTGGTCTGAAGAGAAAAGACAAGCTTAGTCTTATTTCTTCTGTTTGAAGAATGAAGAAGCTGACTGGGTAACACTCTGGGTAATGTAAAACAGTAACTCACAGAACCTACCTATCCTTAGCAAAAGGTAGAAGGCTAGAAGTAGCCACATACGGATATTCCTTCATTGTAGTACTAGAGCTATGGGAACAAAGAGGCAGAAAGCCAGAGTCCTTCAAGATCCCTTGAAACCTTAGGATTAGACAAAAGCTAAAAAGTAAAATAACCATTAGCGGTGGTGCAGGAGGCAGATCTTTGCAAGGTTGAGGCCAGCCTGGTCTACACAGAGAGATGATGTCTGTCTTTTTTTTTTTTTTTCCTTCATTGTTTTGTTTTGGGGTGGGGGGAGTTTCAAGACAGGGTTTCTCTGCGTAGCCTTGGCTGTCCTGGACTCACTTTGTAGACCAGGTTGGCCTCAAACTCACAGCAATCTGCCTCCCTCTGCCTTAGCTCAGCGAGAGATGATGTCTTTAAAAAAGACATTATTCCCAGCATTTCCCCCACAAAGCAGAGAGTGGCTAGAATCTGTTGTGGAATTCTCCATTGAAACTTGAGTAAGTCCAAGCTCTGATAGAGTCTAAAGCCAGGCAGGACATGGTGGAAAGCTGGCTCAATCTGATGGTATTCCCACTATTGTATGGAAGTTTTATAGAGCACACAGCAAGACTGATGCAATTCTAGTTCCTGACCTCATAGAGATACTCAGTACTCAGTACCTCGGTAATCGAATCAAGTGAGAAGCAAACAGGTGTATGTGCACACAAGTCACACACAAGCACAGAGCGTGTGGGGAGAAGGAGGAGGGAGATAAAGATTGTAATTCAAGACCAGCATCGTTAGGAATGACCAAGTGTTAGGAAAAGTGCCACCTTGGTCAGGTGTGCTCATACAAAGTCAGAACTTGACGAATGGATTCCCTGTATTGGTTCTCTAGATAGAGGCTTTGGAGAAAATGAATGAAGATCATGTTCAGAAGAACGGCAGGAAAGCAGCCTCATTTCTGAAAGATGATGGAGGTCCACCTGTGTTGTATGCGGAATAGCACCAGCATGCTGCTCTCCACCAGCACAGCAGTGACACCAGCTGCCATAGCCAACGAGTGTGGGTGACGTGAAATACCAAAGCAGGAGTGGACAGTGTTGCTTGTGGACTTCCCACTTGTAACCCACGTGCCAGATATGTGGAATTTTTAACTCGGCATTGAAAGAATAAAATGTCACTACCTCTCATCTTACAAAAAGATAATATAATTCTTTAACAGGTATAGATGCGTAGCTGAAGGAGTCTGGATTTTACACAACTCATGATCTGAAATGTCTTGCTGAGGATTCTTAACATAGGCAGTGTTTCCAGACCCGGGAGGTGGAGGGGCAGAGGTATCAGCAGGTGAGGCTGCCTCCCCTCCTGCTCTCTGTTGTGTCTTTCCACAGTTGTTATCATCTGAAATTAGTCCTTCTCAGCAACTCTTCCAGACTGTGCCCATGATCCTAGAGACCCGGGAGGGTGTTAGAAGTGGGGATTTGGCTTTATAATGGATGGTGGAAATAGACGTAAGCAATGTACCTTGTGATATACCAGTGTACATCATGAAAATGTATGGAATTCTACATTTCCATCTCATAGCCAGGAAAGATGAGATAGGCTTTTGAAAGATAAGTACAGAAGGATTTCTTAACTAACTAAAATTTAAAATTTAACTTTCAGGTTTTCTTCACTTAGGTTAAATGGTTGGGATGTAACTCATTGTATAATGAAAATGCAAAGTATCTGGAAGGGCAGAATGTAAGAATCATATTTGATACATTTTAAGAAAGCAGCAAAACAAATTTCAGTGTACATTTCCCTAAAATTGCTCTTAGATATTGATTGCTACTTGTTTGGAGAAAAATAGAGAAAAGGACATGGTGCTGTTAAATAGTGGAAGACAAAGCCTGAATGCAGAACAACTTGCGTAACAAATTAACCAACTAACCTGGCCATCTGGCCTCTTTACCCGTCTTTGCACTGGCTGGACTCTGCTTTGTGATGGTGAGCAGTGTCCTAAAAACCATTGGCTGCTTGCTCTCACTTCATACCCCACTTCCTGGAGTCAGATTGGATCCACTAAACAGCATAACTTCGTGTGTGGTTATAAAGAGTAATATAAATGTAATTTATATTCAAAGATTTTAACATTATTTTAAAATGCCAAATATGTTTTTTCTAGGACTATTTATTTTTGTTTCTGTTATACTGCTTTTAGTTGCATTTCAGAGGAGTGTGACTTAGGTGACTCATCCCACTTCTGAGATGTTTGCTACTCTGCAACAAATATTTAAATGAGGACTAATTATTGGCTGTACAGAAATTCCGGAGAACTCACTTGAAACAATCATTTAAAACTTTGTTTGCTTTCTTGACATATTCTTTCTCAAACCATTGCTTGGAGTGTGCTGTGAATTTGCCTTTCAAGAAATTAAAAAATGAAGAGCTCATTTTAGAATTGGTTCATTGTTTGGTTTATTCCTATCCCATAGTTTAGTGTCCTGGCACCAAGACAGCCTTTCTATAGAGAAGTAAGCAGTGCTATTTTAAACATACACAGACACAAACACACGACTTCTGTTTGAGTGTTACTTACAAAATACTTTACAGATAATTTTTCTTCTTGTGAGGTGAGGATATTTTCCACCTTGCTGGAAAAGTGATGTAGGAGATACTCGTTTGATAAATAATCCAGTAAAGTGTATATGTGTATGTAATAGGAATAAAATGTGCCTCATTTTATTGACTTTAATATATTCATCTGATTTTTCAAGACTTGGCTTATAGAGGTATGTATTTTTTATTGGATGTTTGTAGCTCCCTACATTAAATTTTAGTGAGTATTCAAGATTTGGGGCTGGTGAAATGGCACAGTTGCCACCAAGCCTAACTCACGTGGTAGAGTGAGAGAACACATACTGAGAAACAAGCAGTGGTCAGCTGCAGTTTAGTCATCCAAAGGGCCGATTGGGACTGGAGAATACATGAGTGGTCCCACTCATGTACGGGAGGAAACATTTCACCTATACTGTGTCATTGGGGGTGGGTGATGGTCTCATCTCAAAGTGACATGTGAACAGGAGAAAAGCACACCTGTTTACCAAGTGCTCATTTTGCACAGCACAGAGTACTCATCACAAAAGCAGTGAAGAGTTAAACTCTGGCGCATCCTTGCATACACCTTTAATCCTGGCAGAGGCAGGCAAATTTGTCTCAACAACAACAAAACCCCAAACATTCTGAGCTGTTGGGCAAAGACCAGTGTGGTGGTTTAGATAAGAATGGCCCCAGAGGCTAATGTTTGAATGCTTGGTCCCCAGTTTGGGGAACTGTTTAGGAAGGATTAGGAGGTGTGGCCTTGTTGAGGGAGGCGTGTCACTGCGGGTCAGCTTGGAGGTTTCAAAAACACATGCCAGGCCCAGGTGTCTCTTTGCTGCCCGTGGTCAGAATGTAAACTCTCAGCTACTGCTCCAGTACCAGGCCTCTTTCCTGCCATGATGATCATGGGCCAACCCTCTGACACTGTAAGCAAGCCCCCAATTAAATATTTCCTGTTGTGAGTTGCCTTGGTCATAGTCTCTTCACAGTAATAGAACAGTAAGTGCATGAGGAAGAGGAGACAAGGCAAGAGGTTAATCATAAATGACTAGGAAGAGAGGTTAGGCTAACAGAGCTGATTTGTACACGTTTCTTCCAGCTTTGACTTCCCAGCTCTAGCATGAGAATGCTGGGTTCACCTCCTTCTTTTACATGGTTGCAAGTTGTTTGTTTGTATATAAGTAAGATTTATTTTGTGTAGATGAGTGTTCTATCTGCATTTACACCTGCCAGAAGAGGAAATCAGTTCACATTATAGATGGTTGTGAGCCACCATGTGGTTGCCAGGAATTGAACTCATGACCTTTGGAAGAGCAGACAGTGCTCTTTAACCACAAGGCCATCTCTCCAAGTGTTTCTTGCAGCTGTTGCTGAATCAGCTTTCTCAGAGTATCAGGCCAGAATAGCATACTTGGGAGTGACATGTTTTTCCCACCCTTTCATTTGACTGCTGGACCAGCTGTGCCACTTGCCGGCTATTGGCAGGAGGCTCAGTTTTTGGAAGACAGCAGGCAGCAGCTCCAGGGTCCTGCCCTTATAACGTGGCAGCTGGCAGCTAGTTTTCCCAGAGCGGTGGATGCAGGATGGTGAGGAAGGAGTCAGAGGCTTAAACTTTTTTTTTTTAGTCCATAATAAGATTAATTCCCCCTTCCTTTTCCTCTCTCCAAAGCCTTTTATACCCCTCCTTGCTCTCTTTCAAATTTGTGGCCTCTTCATTATTGTGTCTCCTAGGGATGTCAGAAGCTACACCCCCAGTCTCACAAACACTGTGTCCTGGTGTGCTGAATACTTTTACCCTCATGCCTTCAGCTTGGCATCACTGTTGCCAGCACTCCGGCATCCAGGGAACAAGATGAATGAGGGTGAGGGTGGGTTTGGGCCTGTTGTTTTCTATTAAATAGGACAATAGGCTACCATGATGCAGTTTAAACTCCTTCCACCAAGATGCACACAGTGCCTTTTAAAAAGTGCAAATAATGCTAAAAGCAGAAAAAGAAACCCAAATCATCCAAAAGTCTAAGACAACCTCCTTATCCCTTGTCACTTTTTATATACACATACAAATATGCAAAGAAACTTGAATTGTGACTCAGAACCCATAAGTAGAGCAGGTCAGAAAGCAGAGATGCCTGTTCAAAGCCTGCTAGGAAGAGTGCACAGCATACAGGGAATAGATAACAGGTATGCTTGAGGCAGGGTAGGAAGGTGGGGAATAGTAAGTGGACGAGAAGGGAAAGAAACTCCCGTGCTAGGATCTAGTTGGTCCTCCCTGGTTACTGACAGGAACTTCACCACAACTGACAAGGTCACAAAAGCCTTGTGTGTTTTTCTTTAGACCTCCCAAACACTTTTTTTTTTTTTTTTTTAATTGAGTGCTCTATCTGCAGGTGCAGAAGAGGGTATAGAAATGTGGTTGCTGGGAATTGAACTCGGGACTTCTGACTAAGAAGAGCAGACTTAAGCTCTAGACCACTGAGCTATCTCTCCAGCCCCTAAACAAATATGTTGAACACACCAGATGTGTTGTGCTTTCCTGGGGCTAGAATTTCTTAACCCCACGTCAGCAATTCCTCATTCATCCCTAAGCCTGGACAGGGCTCCTCACAAAACCACCTGATAACTTGAGAGAAATAACTAAACCAGCTTGTATGTGTTTGTTACTTAATTTTTAAAGACTACTTAAAAATTTAAACTTGGCCTAATCTTTAAACTTTGTTGTAAATTCCAGGCTTTTGAGAGGCCATCGGATCACGCATTCAGTTCATTCATATATACACACATACACTGTAAAGGCATCTGAGGCCAAGTCTTCCAGAGCCCACACCTGTGTTGTCTTAGATGTGTGCTATAATTTGCCTGAATCAGTCTCTCTCTGACACACACACACACACACACACACACACACACACACACACACTTCTTCCCTCTGGCTTAGCCTGAAAGTCTTCTGCACGTTCAAGGAGCCAGCTTCTGACTAAAGGCCTCTCAGTGGAAAGGGAGAGCCTCCAGACTGCCAGCAGCAATGCTGGCCTATATTTCACACACATACTTTTGGTTTTTTGAGACAGGGTTTCTCTGTGTAGCCCTGGCTGTCCTGGAACTTGCTTTGTAGTCCAAGCTGGCCTTGAATTCAGATTCACCTGTAACACACATACTTCTAAACCCAGTTCCTCTTATATTATTAATGCTCATTTTCTAACCAAAAGGAATTTAGAAAGCTCAAAGAAGAAAATAGTGGTCATTGAAACAGCCGCTAAGCAGTGAGAAGTATGGTAGGAAATGGTCCTTTGGTCATGTGTCACACTGTCTGACAAAGAATAGGCAACAAAAATCAAAACAAACAAACAAAAAAAAAAAAACAGGGATAAGAAAGTGTGTGCTACTTTTAGGTACTATAAAGTGTCAGAGCACACTCTAGGATCCTTGGACAAGCAGGCACTGCTGCTTATCTCACAGGCCAGAGCTTCCGGGCTCTGGAAAACACAGGCCCAGCATAAAATATGAAGAGGAAGTAAACATTCAGGCAGGGAACTGCTCACACACCCTCCCCTGGGGGGCAGGCAAGTGACCCTAATTCTGGGGGACAAAACTCAGTCTCCCAGCTAACCTGATCTCACCCACTCCCAAGTGGCAATCTCCCTTGGGGTCCCCATAGAAAGCCTGGTGTTTGCCACTTGGTTGGCTCGGAACAGTTTTTTTGTTTGTTTGTTTTGTTGCTGTTGTCTTTTAAAACTCTTGTTTTTGTTTTTAAAAATCTTCCAGCCCTGGGTGTCTTGGTCACTCCTCACCTCAGCCCCTCTTTCAAAGCAGCACAGCCATGTTCGGGCAAAGTGGTAGCTAGTGTCCAGTCCTCACTGGAGGATCGCAGCTCTCAAGGTCTGGCTGCCTTGGGTGCTCTCCAGTGCCTTCATGAGACTTCACAATGAATGCAAGTTAAGATTTTCAGTTTGCTAATTCTTGTTCCATGTTCCAATACTTTAAGCTTTCAGATGAAACAAAAGTTGTTGAGCAGTCATGAAATCCCAGTACTAAGAGGCCCTCTTCTGACCCATCAGTACACACACATTTACACACCACACACACACACACACACATCTTTGAAGCTCCAAATGCTGGCACTTCTGGCATATTGGGGGTTAAAACTTAAACACGTAAACTTTGGGGGAGGGGCAACATTTAGTCCCTAACATCCTAGCAGATGGCAGCACCGCAGCATGGCAGCATGGCTGAGACAGAATGCTCAAGAATCAGTTTCCGGGCTGGACACAGAGCTCCGTGAATACAGTGGTTGCCTGGCGTGAGTGAGGTCCTGAGGCGAACCCAGAAATCAATCCTGGCTCATAGGTCTCGCCTGCTGCACGCTTACCGCCAGCCTCCTGCCTCATCTCTGTAAACTGACTAAAGTGACAGCAGCAGGATCCCCGGGCGTAGGCGACGCAGACGGCGGAGTCACCGTCGCAGGCAGGTTAGAAACCTAGCTCCTCCCGGCAGCCCGCAGACTTCCGGGTCACGTGACCCGCTCCCCCGGGGGCGTGGCTTCGGTGCTAGAGCCCGCCCCGGCCCCCCGAAGCGCCGAGGGCCGCGGGTCACGTGGGGGGCGGGGCGGGGCTAGGGCCGCGGCCCGCGGGGGAGACCGAGACCGTGGACGGACGGCGTCTCGGCCGCCGAGCTCCCGCCGGGCCCAGCCATGGGCGGCGAGGACTACTACCTGGAGCTGTGCGAGCGGCCCGTGCAGTTCGAGAAGGCGAACCCGGTCAACTGCGTGTTCTTCGACGAGGCCAACAAGCAGGTGAGCGGCGCCCGCGGCGAGGGCCGGCGCCCAGACGCCCTAGCGCCGCCGCGCGCGAGGCGGACGGGCTT